TGATGGTGGAACATCTGTCTACGGTTGATGGCAGCATGTGGAGCCTCCAGGACTTCAAGAGGCCACAGCGACAAAAAACGTGACAGAAGCTAAAAACACAGATCAGACGGTAAACAAAACCGACATTAACAAGCTGTTCACAGGCCAGCATGCTCTCGTCTCGATTCACTGTCTACTGTAGCGCCTCCTACAGGTGAAACTGCAGCCTGACAGGGCTCAATCGACAGATGACAGTTAAAAAGAACGTCTTGCTTTTGTGAATCAAGACTCTCCATCATTGGATCAGATGGTTCCAGATGAGCCTTCTGTCCTACCCAACAGTCCCTCTTCAGTAAAGTACAAATATCTTCTCATACCTGCGTCGAGGAGATTGTCTGGACTCTGCCATCGTCAGATCTGTGATGAAGGGAAATCATACGACTTGTAAACAAATAAACAAACAATAAAGTCCACAATTTTATTAACTAAGACGTTCACATCCAGAGAAGCAGGAGGTGGATCTACAACAACTGCACTGAATCACTTCATGTTTCAGGTACAAAAATTATCTAGTTTCATCTACAAACAGTCCAAAATTCAGTCTTTAAAGCGTCTGAGGACCTGCAGACGTCCTGATGGAGATGCTAAAAGCTCAAACATCTGCAGCAGAAGGAGTCAAAGCGTCTGATGAGCTGTGGTGAAGATGGCCAACGTGGATCCGTCCAGTGTTCCGAGGTGTCCCGTCCCGTCGTCCTTCCCAGCAGGACCTTCTGTCTTTGTGCAGTTTTTTCTTAACTTCCTTTATAAACCAGTCCGTTTCCATTCTGACCTCTGGCCGGCTCCGTCAGGTCCGGTTCTCCTGACCGGTCCAAGCGCTGAGCCCCGAGGTGAAGACTTCTGAAGGATCCATGAGCCTGAGAGCAGAGCGGCTGTTGTTGTCTGGTTGATAAAGTGTCAGTGACAATCCAGAGACGCTCAACTTTCGTTTAAGAAAAAGTCTGAACTAGAAGCTTGAACCTGAAACGAGCTGAAGCCGTTTGATTCTTTCTGCCAACATCAGCTCCAGATGCTGGATTTTTAAGGAAGATGCTTCATCAAACACTGACATTTCTGCCTAAAAAAGTTTATCATCAGCCACCAGTCTGGACCTGGTGGCACCTTCATCAGTGGGCTGCAGCGCCCTCTGGTGGACGGACACAGACATGACAGTGGTGCCTGTTTTTACAAACGTTCTACATTTACAGAACAAAACAAAAATGACCAGAAAATGTCTTTAAAAACACAAACAGCCTCCTTCAAACACAGATCCCTGACCTCCGACATGTTTCCTACTTTAGCTTCTGCTGTTTTAACACGTTTTTTAAATGTTTTTAAAGTGTTCTAATCGTTGTGACGTGAGTGTTACCACACTGTGTTTTACATGTTTTGGATGGAGATCCAGCAGGTCGTCCAAACACAATTGAAACATGGTGACCACAGATTTGAGAAGAGGTGGAAGAGCTCCTCCAATCCAGGAAACACGTGACCAGACACCAGCAGAGCACGACGCCCAGCTCCAAACCAGCACCGACCGGTCAGTCCTGACGCAGGACGGCGGTTCTTTCCTCCAGCAGCCAGCGAGCTGCGATCCTGCTGCCGTAGATCACATACGACCAGGACAAAACCACGACGGCCAGCAGGACCTGCAGGGCGGAGACGGCGCTACATTAACACATGTACATCAGGTTTTTGTCACTACTTTACAGCCACCTCATCCTCCACAGATCAGGGTTTTGAGTTGGTAGGCAGCACCAAAGGACCAAATTCTATATCATCTATAACAAGTGAGAATTTTATTGTGAGTTTGGTACATTAGAGTTTAATCTACTCAAACAAAACAGACATTGCTTTATCATGTGGTGACAAATACAACAAAAGTTTCTTTTTAAGGATTTAAAACTGCACAGTTTCGTCCACAAACGCATCCAACATGACTTAAAATTTTCCTATAATCGTCTGAAATGACTTGAAACTCACACATCTTCCAAATTTGCTTGATGCTTGCACAAAAATATCTAAAAAGGAAATTTGAAATTGAAAATTGCCCCAAATAACTCAAAGTATTCGGCACATGCCAGTTACTTTTGTCCAAAAGATAAAGTATTTGCTTTAAGCAGATTCTGTAATAATAATAGTGATAATAATGATGATCATAATGATGATGATGATGATGATGATGATGATGATAATTCAGGAACTTTTCAGATGAACCAATTACACATAATCATATGAATGTAGTAACACAGAAAACCAGGACCGGATGAGTCCACAGCTCCCTCCAGGTGAGGCCTGGTGTCACCTGTTCAGGGGTTTTAGTCCAGTAAACAAGGAGCTGCTGCTCTTCTGAAGCCTTTAGGAGATCTTTTAATGAGCGACACAGCAAAAGGCTGGAAGCTAACGTTACCCTCCTCCTGGTTAGCTGAGATTTAAACTGACCATGGAGCAGTTTATAATCACTCAGTCAGTGTTTAACTTGATTTACTACATACAAAAGCACGAAAACACCCGTCAGTTTTACTTTTCTGCTTGTTGAAGCCTCCAAAGCCAGCCTGCGACCAGATGCTAGCTGGTTGCTAACAGTTAGCAGCTAGTTCGGGTAGCATTAGCCGAACAAAACAACATTTAACTGGCAGAAGGTGAAACAAAACGCACCGCAGAGTAGATTCTGTCCAGAGCCCGTCTGCTGGTAGTCTCCATCATGTCGCTAAAGCCACGTTTAAGCCTCAAACTGAAGCCAACGCGCCGCTTCGGTTTGGTTTGTTTACGCCGCGTCTCTTCTTCTTCTTCGTCTTCCTGCGTCTGACGTGAACGCCACCATCGTGCGTTTCGGACGAACAAACGGTAGCTCAGATGTCTGTAGTTATATTAAAACTTCAAACTCCAGCCTTTCAGATATCATCTTTAGGCCGTTTAATCCCATAATGGCTTTGATGAATGATACGTTTTAAACGTTAATTGGACGCTTCGACCTCGACTTGTTCTTTCGGAGCAGCCGGTGGTTTCTCCTCCGGGCCGTCAGGGGGCAGCAGTGACAACATGGCCGACCGAGCAGCTCACCAGAACAGATGTCTCACTCCGCTTCATTTCTGGAGCCATACGAGTATAAAATGTAATTTAATTCAATATTAAATCAATACGTACAAAAATGTATAAATATCACCATGAAAAAATTAGTACGGCTCAATAAATAAATCCTGACGTCAACAAGACGCGTGAATAAACGGAATAATCGTAGATCAAAACAAAGAACATCAAAAAATATTTCTTACAATAATTTAATGTTCATTTTAAAATGGCTATTTTTTATAAAGACTCATTTTATTTACATTTCAGGGCACTTTAGTTTCGCGGGTTTGTTTCATACCCATACTGACTGACTGACTCACAGGTGTGCTTATTGATATTTAAACAGTACCGGTTCCACACAAAGTGGACTTTTTAAAGTTGTTTTGCTTTGTTTGTTTGTTTGCTTTGTTTTGTTTTGTTTTTGAAGCCTTTGTAAGTAAGCAAACAAGTAACAAAGCCGATGAATTCTGGTTCCTGCTGCCTGTCTTTGACTTTGAAAAAAAAACAAAAAAACACTTCTGGTGTAAAATGCACAGAGCGTGTTTTCATGGTGTACTGCTGCTGTGTACTTTAATCTTAGAAGGCAGATATACATACATATAAAAAGACGTGACAAAAACTAAACGTCTCCTAATTATGATTTTGAACTGAATACGATTTTTTTTTAGAACAAACAAATGAAATAACAGTCAAAATTCAAGACAGACAAGGTTAGTTATAAGTATCATTATGTTAATGATCCAAAGCCGAAATGCTGATTTATTGAGGTAAAGTTATGAAAGATTTTTTTTTTTTTTTTCAGAAAAACGTGTGAAAACAACAATCGTGACAGAAGTGGAAACGCGTGTCTTCAGCTGTGAGTGGCGCATCTCTCACTGACGATCTTTGGCTCCCAAAAAAAACAAACGGACGCTCCCATGATGCAACGCGGCTCCGCTCTCAGTCCAGCTGTGAGTCGCTGCGGTTCGGACGGAAACAATCAACACAAATGTCTACGTCTTTGACGGAACTTTGGCTCTAGACGGATCCGAGCAGCGGAGCCTGTCGCGCCGGTAAGCCCGCTCACGGTGGATGCCGCTCACGGCGCGGAGTTCGTACCGGAGGAGGAGAAAAAACCCGGATGAGAAGGTCCCGGAGCGACCCGGGGAGTCTTCTGCTCAGGTACGGACAGCTAGCGGTGCTAGCATGCTAACAGGCGATCAAACTGTGTTTCAGTGCTGCTCGTCGGGCTTCACCGTCCACCGCAGCCCCGCGGCCGGGAGCTGCTGCTGCCTGCCGCTGTTTGGAGCGGATCAAAGTCATATTTCTGAACGGATCTGAAGCATCATCTGATCCTGCCGGTCAGCTATATGCTAGCTAGTGTTAGCATGCTAGTCTGATAGTAACGAGTAATGTCAGTCACGTTAATTCTGTTCTTTTCTCTCGGTTCAGTGCTTTATGAATGCAGAAGAGACAAACATTAAAGTTTATTTGAACTTAGCATCCAGACTGACTCTAAAAACCTTAGAAGGGTGTATTCCAGTGAAGAACCGAGCTGTGCTGCCCTCAGCAGAACCTCCAGACCTGAGGCTCCAGGTGACACTTGACCTGTTGCGACCTGTAATGGGGCCGTTACGGCTCCTCATCTCCAGATAGAACACCTGCTAATTAACCTGCAGCTCAAACTGCTGCCACACAACGAGGAAGTAAAAGTCACCAGAGATCCAGCAGCTCCTGGCTCCTTCACATCGCTTCACGTGTTTGTCCGCGAGTCACGATTTAAATTTAAATTCATCAAGTCATAAACATAGGGCTCGAATGACGCAGCTGAAAGGTTCAACGTGATGGATGTTTACGTCCTGTCACTAAGGGTAGTTGCTCATTATTTTTAATAAAGATCATCAGGTTAAACGCTGGTTAGTAATTTAGGGTTATTTCTAGCCTTCACATACAGGAAAACCTTCGATGTCACCACAACAATGGAAAACACTCACATGGTCTGAACCGAGTGACCCCGACCTCCATCCTCAGCTCGACGTCAAGTCCGTTGTCAGGTGGAGGTGGTGGGGAACACAGGGCTGTCGATCATTTTAGACAACAAGTCCTGTTCCCCTCAGACTTGGTGGATGAAGCGCACCTTGTGGATGCGAACGGGCAAAGCATGAGTCAGCCTGAACGCTGTTGTGACCCGAGGAGGCAGTCACTCGGACTGCAGGCAGTTCATGTTGCACTTCACTAGCTCAACCCCCACAACGCTCTCTGCTTCCTGCTTTACAGCTTTAAACAATAAGAGGCTCCACCTGGTGGAACAACCAGGTACTACAGCTGATCGACGATACATTTTCTGACATGCACGACCTTCTTCTTCTTCTTCTTCTTCTTCTTCTTCTTCTTCTTCTTCTGCTTTATTCGTGAATATTGTTACTGGCAGTTAATCGGTTAATGAATGACCTTTAACGTGCCCAGTTGCACCACTGTCTCACAGCGTGTTTTTTCTGTTTTCCGTCCAGGTGATGGCGCCCACACGGATGAAGCTGCGCGTCCGTCGCCGTGACAACACGGCTGCAGCTGCTACAGGTGACGAAGAGAGGACGAGAGATAGCGGCGGCCACAGCAGCAGTCGGAGGAAAAATGCCAGCAAAGCCACGACTGCTGCCGCTGCCGCCGCCGCTGCATCTCCTCCCACCTCCTCCACCTCGGCGTCAGCACGGGCGGTGATGGCGGCGGATGAGGCGTCGCCCGACTCCAAGTGTCCGATCTGCCTGGATCGCTTCAACAACCTGGCGTACCTGGACCGCTGCCTGCACCGCTTCTGCTTTCCCTGCATCCAGGAGTGGTCTCACAACAAGGCCGAGTGTCCGCTCTGCAAGCAGCCCTTCGCCTCCATTCTGCACTCTGTCCGCGCCGAAGACGACTTCAAGGAGTACACGCTGCGGCCAGCGCCCGCCAATAGCAGCGTCGCTGCCACCGTGGCAATGGTGGCGGCGATGGCGTCAGCAGCGAGGAGCGACCATCAGATGAGGCTGATGCTGAGGAGGCACAGGGTGGCAGACGGAGGAGAGACGACCACGAGGAGGCGGCGGAGGGAGAGGGGGGGCAGAGGGGGAGGCAGGAGGGGGGAGGAGAGGGCGGGGGTGTGGGAGTGGTACCTCGACTCGCCTCCTCTTCCTCTCCCCCCCCTCCCTCTTCCTCAACGTCCCGTTGCCACCGAGGACAGCGAGGACGGAGACGAGCTGGAGGAGCAGAGGCTGAGGGGCGGAGCAGATCTGGCGGAGCGTGGCGTCATATTCGAGGGTCTGACGGGCCTTGGGGGGGCAGTGGCTCCGGTGGCGCCTAACGACAGGGCGTCACGGCGGCTGATGACCCGCTTGGCAGCGAGGCAGCGGCTTCAGCGAGAAGGTGGAACTGTGCGGCGGTTGCGGGAGAGAGAAACGGTGGCTTTCCGTCGCGCCCTCTACCGCTGTGGCATTCGAGTTCGTGGTGTTGCCGGTAACCAGGGGCAACAGCAGCAGCGCGACATCACAGCAGAGAGTTTTCGTCGGAACCCCGCCCACTTGAACAGACTCCGCCCCTGGCTGCGTCGGGAGCTCACGGTACTATACGGAGCACACGGTTCACTCGTTGACATTGTCCAGCGCATCATCATGGCGCAGCTCGCTCGCCACGGCCTGGAGGACACGCCCACCATAGAGGAAGAGCTGCGCCCCTTCCTGTTGGCCCGCACCGAACACTTCCTGCACGAGCTGGTCAGCTTCGCCCGCTCGCCACTCAGCCTGGACAACTATGACCTGCAGGCAGCGTACGAGCCGCCAGCCGCCGCCATGGAGCTGGACGGGATGAGCAGCTCCTCGGACAGCAGCTCCGTCATTGCGATCTCGGAGGGCGAGGACGAGGAGCGGGCGGAGGAGGGGCGTGGGGACGGAGCCAACGACGATGTCATCCAAACTGGAAGCTGCCTAAGCCTGTCGGGCTGGGATGACGAGACTCCGGGCCCCTCCTACTCCACCGCTGAACCCTCCTGTTCGCTGTCATTTAGCCCCGCCCCTCAGGAGCCAACCAATGATGAAGGAGGAGAGAAGCGGGTGGAGGAGGAGGGGGAAGAGGAGTGTCTGATCGTCGGCTACAAGAAGCCGATCGCAGAGCGAACCCCTGAGTTGGTGCAGCTGTCGTCTGACACCGAGGAGGACGAGGAGAAGAAGAAGGAGGAGATGCCTGAAAAACCTCCCCCCCTTCCCTCCACCGCTCTTCCCCCTTATTTACCCACAGTCCCTCCCTCCACGTCTGGCGTCTACAGAGACGAGCAGGACGGTGAGAAGGACGGCGAGGTGGAGGCACGGCACTCACGTGCACGCACGTGGTCGGGAAGCAGCAGAAACTCGGTGTGCACGCTTAGCCCGGCGACACCTGGAGAAGGTGAGCGGCGACGGGAGCGAGTGAGCTGGAGAGACAGGAAGCAGCCCGGTGGCGAGGCGGCGAGAGAGAAGAGGAGGAGGAAGAGGAGGAGGAGAGGTCGGGAGAGGAAGAGCGGCACGCTGTACAACCCCAACCGCTCCATTTATCCCGCCATGATGCGCCGCCGCTCGCACTCCCCCTCGCCGTTCCGCTCCAGCGCTGAGTCCGGCTCGCCGCCCGACTCCAGCTGGGAGTACCGCTGCTCCCAGGTGTCCCCCCTCACCTCCTCCGTCTCCTCACCCTCCTGCTCTTCGTCTTCGTCGCCATTCTGCTCCTCGCCGCCACCGTCATCGCCACCGCCGCCGCAGACCCCGCCCTCGCTCTCCCCCAGCAGTAGCACTCACCACGGAGAGAAGCCCGGCGGGAAGAGAAAGTACAAGAGCCGGCACCTGGACAGCGAAGTCAAGGATCCAACATGGAGGCGGAGCGGCAGCCATCACAGAGACAGGAGGAGGGAGAAGGAGAGGAAGAGGAGGAGGGGAAGGAAAAGGAGGTGAGGCACAATTACCCACGATGCACTGCTTCATAAATGACAAGTTACAAATAATCAAGTTAATGTGCTTTCTTACTGTTAGACGCTGACTTAACATTCACCAGACAGATACTAGACGTTGAACCGTTTCCATGTTCCAGCTTCTCCAGACTTTTCGTCTCTGCTCATCATCTGTAGAAAGATGTTCTACCATCAGATGTAGAAAGATGTTCCACTGTCAGCTTTTTTTACAGGATTTGATCAATGTGGACGCTTTAGAGGTAGATTCATAACTATACGTCACAAATGATAACATGCCTTTCAAAGGGTTTCGGGGTTCAGAGGGCTTACAGCTGATGTTGTGAGACGACATCCCGACGACAAATAATTTTATCATCCACTTCCTCTTTGTCCTCACCACGTGTTGCCGACTGAAAAGAGGACAAAGAAGGAGACATTTCATATTTTGTTGTTCAGGTGTTTCACTGTTGAAAGAATCAAAAGTTACCTTTTGTTTTTCATCCATCTTCCAGCAGCAGCAGGAGGTCCAGAGAAGACCGAAGTCCCAGCGTGGAGATCATCTACGAGGGCACCATCACTTCGGAGGCAGCGCAACCTCGAGCCCACAAACGCCGCCGGAGACGCCACCGCGGGCCACAGTACGGCAGGTATAGCATGTAGCTACAGTCTGTGTTAAAACCTGAATGTAGTCATCATTGGTGAGTTTAGCGGGATCAATCCCGCACTTACGTTGCTGCGAAGCTGAATCAACTTTCTGAACTCGTCTCTTTCAGCTCTCCGGTCATCATCACCCTCGACAGCGACAGCAGCCACGAAGACGCCAACGTCAACAAAAACCACATCAGCAGCAGCAGCAGCAGTCCACTCAGCAGCCAGCAGACCGTCGATTTCTGCGACCTTCCTCCTCTGCCATTGGTGCACTCAACCGGAGTGGGCGGGGCTTTGGACGCTGAAATCGGCGAACTTCCCGTTGACATCCTGGATCGAGGATCTGATGGCTCGGAGAGCGAGTCCAAGGGTCCGATTGCCATCGATAACAGCGACAACAGTGATCGGGACGTGGATGTGGAGAACGTGGAGGAGGGCAGGGCTCTGCTGGGAGGCGAGAAAGCAGCGTCGACAAACAAACATGATAATCAGCCAACGGAAGAGCACAATGACATCAACAAACGAAAAGCCCCGCCCTCCGACTGCCACCTGCTCGCCACCATCCTTGACGACCTGAAGGGGATCTCGGCGCCAAAACAAAACCATCCGTTGAACTCGGACTCACCCGACGCCCGGAGGAAGCGCTGCAGGGAGCCATGCGAGGTCCGTCAGAACCAGGATATCTGTTCGGCTGAGGAGCAGAATCGGGGCTTTGACCTGCCCATGTCTTGCGCCTCCATTCCCTCACCATCTCCTCTGAAGCGCCCGACAGAGTGCCAGGTCCGAGAGGAGAGCCAGGACGTCCCCCCGCTGCTCAGACAGGCCAGTCCGGTCCGACCATACAACCGAAACACTCCGCCGCCGCTCAAACACAAAGACGCTGGGAGTCCTCGCCGTTCCACCGACTCACCCGGTGAACTCCACCTTCATCATGCCTCCGAACCCGTCATCCCTCCTGTTCTGCTCAGTCCGAATCCCATCGACTCCTGTTTGGCTGCAGAGCTGCCGAACGACAAACAAACCATCCCGCCCATTTCGACGCTGAAGAGACACTTCTCGAATGCTTTGGCGTCGAGAGGTGAGCCGAACGCTCCCTCGAAACTCATCCATTCCAAACCTCCCATCGACTCCCATACTTCTTTTGGAACGAGCCCCTTATCTCATCCGGACTTCAGTTACTTCCATCCTGCAAAGTTACATTCCAGCCGCGGTGACACCGTGGAAACACCTTCGCCTGTTGACTTGCATCCTGTGAATTCTTCTGTTGATTTCCATTCAGCCAACACCGGCTGGTCCAAAGAGAAGCCGGCTCACACTGACTCTACCTCCGGAGGTGGCAGGAATAAGACGGTGAGCCCGGCCGTAGACCCCCATCCTCCGCCGGCAGGTTCTGGTGTTTTCTCAGGAGTCAACTCGAAAGACACGTCGCCTCCTGCTTTTGTTTCGTCCGTCGGTTCCAGGACTCCCTCCTCACCCGTCGACTCGCTCTGTTCCAGTAAAACAGAGAATTCGTCAGAAAGGATTTCACCAAAAGCAGCTTCCGTCGACCTTCATGCTGGGAGTCCAAACTCTACGACTGACCCTTGTCGTTCCACTGCAGTTTCAGAAGGACTGAAGCCATCGTCAGCGGTCGATCACGAACAAAGTCGTTCTGAGCCGCCACCCGCTTGCTTGAATTCTTCTTGTTTTGACGGACACTTGAACCACACGGCCTTACCCTCGTCTCCCGCCGAACACACCGCCAACTTCCACACATCTCAGTCCACCGCCGACTCCAGACCTCAGAACCACTTTGACTCTCAGTTTCCGGTCAAACTCTCTAAGAGGGGCTTTCCGCTCCACACTGACAATCACGTCGCATCCGCTGAGAACCAGCACAACTCCTCTGTCGACGCCTGTTCGGACTCTCAGTCGCCCGAACGCTCAGATGGCGGCGGCGGCATCTGGAACACGTAGGACACGCTAACACATCTGTAAAGAGAAATTCAAATGTTTCTGAGGACTTAATGGAGGAAATGTGAGGAAATAAATGTTGCTTTTTACTGGTTTTCTTTATGAGCAGAATTGAACTCATTGATGGCCATTTCATCACCACCGTCTGATCAAAGTGTGTCTGCAAGGGACGGACGTAGTCGAAATTTTCAAACAGGACTGGGACAGTGTGATTCGATTCTTTGGATATGGTTTTAAAATATTTATGCTTTTTGTCATTTCAATGAGACGTTTTGTTCGCAGCAGGAAGCCACGAAGAGTTAAACGATGAGAAGTTTGTAAAAATGTTGATTTTTACCGTCGCACTGATGATAGCGACTGGTCACTGAAGGTGCTCCCAGTCCGAGGAGACCGACACGACAGAAAAACCAACGTTAAAGGATGATCGAAACTGTAGCTGTAGTCTGAAAGAAATTATGTGAATGAAGGGATCAAGATTTGTCTTGTGTAGAAACCAGATTAACGAATAAAAAGTCTGCTCACATGACTCTGAAGACACGATTAAAGAGTGACATCCAGCTCCGCTCTCACCTGTCTGGTTGTAAATGAATGAACCTGTTCTGTACGAAACAACACCGAATTAAAGTTTGGTCAGAAAGTGAGTTTTGGTCCCTGAGTGTCCGATAAACTGATTAGGACTCATTGACTTAATTAACGGGACGATTTGTAACCGCTGTCGTTACTGTGAAAATGGCAAAAAGTCACTTGCTGCAGCTTCTTAAACGCGTTTCCTGCTTTTGTTTGTGTTGAGTTTACCAGAAAACTAGAAAAAAGTCTGTAAATAATGAAAACAATCTGACACCGCTGTGCACAAGTACTCAGTTACAAGTAAAAGTACACGAGTACAATCAGGAAAATGTCGAAAAACACGTCTTCTGACTGTTAAATGATTAAACCTTTAGATTGTGATTACTTGGGCGTGAACATAAAAGCATAATTTTCTGCTTTGTCGTTTTATGATTTTAGAAAAGACGCCGGAGTGCAAAGTGACAAACGGTAAATAGTTAAAAATATTAAAGGAAGAGCAGAAAATCTCTCCATCTGTGAAGCTCAAAGTCGCTGCCGATTGATTTTCAGCCAATCAAGTGATTAATCAGTTCTTAACAAAATAATAATTTATAAGCTCTTATTGTTTTTCTTCCCAAAAAAAATCCTAATTAGTACAGTAACTGAAGCCGTCACAGAAATAGGCTGAAATAAAACACTCCGGTGCAGTAGCAGGACTTCAGCACTGTGCTAAAGGGCAGTACTTCAGTAACTGTACTGAGCTGTATTCCACCGCTGCTCCGTCGGTTCTTGTTTTAGTTTTGATTTTTGGTTTTTTATGTCTTATTTCACTAAATTAGAATTTAGAAAATTTTTATTTATTATTGCTTTTTTCAGTTTCTCGTTATTTAAGTGACTGTTGTGAGTTTGGTCTTTTCTTTAATGGACGAATATGAACACATCTGAGGACGGCTGTAGGTAATGGATGGACGGATTAAAGTGGGACATTTAGGGAGGAAAAAAAACACAAATTTCAGAGGAAAGAAATGATTTTATATGAGATCAAAGGGATGATTTATGAAAAAAATAAATCTCATATTTGTGACAAAAATTTCAAGACAAAAAGAAAAGTGAAAAAACATGAAAATAAAAAGAAAAACATGTTATGAAATTAAAGTGGTAAATTCATCAGAAATCTATGAGAAGAATCTATATATATTTATAAGGAAAAAACGTTGATAATCTATGAGATTAAAATAATACATTTATGAGGAAAAAATACACTTATTTATAAGAAAAGAAAAATTAATTTCCAGGAAAAGAAAAATCCCAAAAAGGTGGTATATTTATGAGAAAACACTCCCATAAATAAGGAAAAAGAAACGTGGATATTCTGTGTGATTTACATGGTACGATCAGTTTAAAGAAATAAAGGACATAAATACAAAAAGCATGAGAAAAAATGAATTCTATGAATGGAAACGTAGCTGTTACATTTGGATCATCTAGAAAATCTAATGATTCTATTCTTTAATAAAGTTTGTGTGATTTAAATGATGAGCATTATTTTCATGAACAACAACAAACGTGTTTAGTTAAACTGCAGTGTGTGTTTCTCACCAGCAGGTGGCGCCACCAGGAGGCTTCTTCTCCGTCTGCAGACTGAGCAGGATGACGAGTGCGAGGAGAAGAACTCTGAGGTTTCATCACTGATGAAGGAGTTCAGGGTTCAGCGATGGACCCAAAGACAGACCTGATGTTTCTGATCATTTATTCACGTTAAACGCAGCTGTCGTGATGAAGTCAGACTGAAACATGCAGCAGAGAAGAAGTTTAAAATGTGTGCATGTGGACATTTCAGCTTCAAAACAAAGCTGGAGAAGCGCTGGTTAGAGTTCAGGTGGAAGAAACAGCATTGTTTTGCAGAAATGTGGTGAAAACTGTCAGAAGTTTGAGAAATTTTGCAAAAGAAAACAAAAATACTTGAAGTTCTGATTATAGCTTCTGCCCAACAACAGCGTTTAGGAGTTTGTAAGACTGAAGCAGTAAATGTGCGACATAAAACTCGAATATTTGCTCAAGGTTGTTATTGTTATTCATTCACAAGAGATAAATATGAAATTCTTTGAGGCTATCGTCACACATTTACGAGAAAATAAAACAAATTTACGATATTACTAAAATATTTTGTATAAATAAATAATTTCAATAAATAGGAGCTGAATTCGATCGGTGCCATTAAAGCAGCGCCACAAACAAACAAGAAACGAAGTGGTTTAAAGAGTCAAGCTGAGGAACAGAAAACATCAGATGTAGTTTCATGTTTTACTGGTTTTATGCGTCTAAGCCGGAGCACCTTTTTGTTCTTCAGGAGCTTTTCCTGCTCGAACCAAAACTGCAGGTTAAAATGTGGATGTAGAATCATCCACACGCAGATTGTAGTCCGAAGAAAAGAAACGTCGTTTAGTGATTTGAGTGGGTTTATTACAGGATTTTGTGGCGTGTGCAGGTTTAGATCCACCAGCAGGATGTTTGCCATCTGCTTTGTCACTTTTTTTATTTTATTTTTTTGTAATTTTTCTACTTTGCCATAAAAAAGAAAGAGATGATGTGATGTAGAGAATCAAACGTTTTCTCACACGTCTGTTTTGTTCTCGTCACACGTTTTTCTTTCTTTTCTCTCAAACTGAAAACTAAGAGTGTGGCCGTGGACGAGCATCGGCTGAAACGCCCCTCTCTCCCTCCCTCCCTCCCGTCAGGCCACGCCCACTTTCCAGAACACTGGTGGTGGGCCATTGTTAGCACTGTTGCCGGGCAACACGGCGCACCGTTGTCAGGGACAACCAGCCTCTCCGTCTGTGTGATCGCGGCACCATTACCGAGACGAGGAGCCCACGCACACACACAGCTTCCATCTTGTGGCGGAGAGATTTCACACAAACACACAAAAACATATTGTTCATTTTCATGCCTCCCCCCTCCTCCCCCGTCCCCCTCCCGCACGCATCATCACCCCCGTATGATGCAATCACCTGACATCCATCTTCCCTCCGCCGATCACACAGCCGCAGCTCATCTTTGAAATGCTTTATTATAATTCAGCACATGAGGAGGTCACAGAGACGGAACACATGAGGAGGAGGACAGACACACAAAACAAACGCCCCCTTCCTCGCCCGCCTCGCCCGGGAGGGAGCGCTTGGTTTCAGTTCCCACAAACAGGAACATTTTCCTCATGGTACTCGAAAATAAAACCGGTTTCCAACACGTCTGCAGATGCACAAAGTCTGACACAGTAGCAGGAAAAATCAGAACAACGGAAGGTGAACTTCACAAAAACTGACCCGTACAGCGGTTTCTCCTGGCCGTTCAGGGTTGGCGCTGTTGTTCCCCCAAAACCGGGCTAACGGGGTTCTACGGGAGCAGTCGGAACATGCATCAAAACGCCTTCAAATGTCTGCTTAATGTTGCTTTAATCAGCTCCATGTGAAAAACTGAAGCCTCGTCCAGGTTCCTCCAGGAAAGGCCAACAGGGTTCGTGGAGCTGCCACTAGGGGGAGTACTGCGAGGGTAGAGCAAACCTCAAAACAAGAATTGTTTCAGTCCTGGAGCTCAATTTGGGAAGAAAATGTTCCGTTTGATGTCAACACCAACATTGAGTTATCACATCACCAAAGGTTGACGGAAAGAGCAGAATACTTCCTTAATTTCTCAGAACAGTTTTCACGCTTGAGCTGGTTTTCGATTATTTTGAAAAAGACTTAATGCACTTCGTCAGACACTATCGTACGTTTTGCAAACGAGTTCTAATTAAGCAGCAACCTCCAGGGCTGGAAAATAAAAAGACAAAGACTGCACCTCCTCAAATGTCCACTTGGTTTAGTTTTAAATGTTTTGCTTCATGCCGTGTTGGGCGATCCGGAAAGTGTCTGTTATTCGTGACTCCACCGGCGCATTCTGAAGTATTTGAAAAGCATCGTGGAAATGACAAAAAAATGTAAATCTTCAATCTCTCAAAAGAGCACCTGAGGTGGTTTTTCGACTTTTTCAAAAAGAGTTAATGCGCCTCAAGTGTGACCGAAATACCTTCTTCTGAATAAGTTCTCATGAAGCGGAAAAATGTGGAGCCAAAAGCATCCACTGGTGAATTCTGAATAAAAGTTATGACCCTCGTCATGAGCCTCCGGCGCTGAAAACTAAAGAGCCAAGAGCTGCAAAGTCCACTTGAAGCTGGTTTCATTCCAGAAGCCCGTTTTGATGTTGTGTTTGTGTGGAGAGCAGAAAATGTGGTTGACTTTCTCCAGACACCACTCGTGTTTCAATCAGCTTGTTTTTAACTAGTGTTAGAAAGGATGAACAGAAGCAGCAAAATCTGAAAAAGAATGTTTTCATCACGTTTTTATGCTCACTTGATGTGATTTTTGCCTTTTTGAAGAAGAATCGATGCCCGTAAAAGGAAATAGAAACACTTCTCTGAGTCTGTTCTGATCAAGCTACAACCTCCGTAAACCCCAAAAAGTGTAGTTCCTCAAATGTCCACTTGAGGTTCCAAAAGATCTGTCAGACCAGCCTCTGGTGCTGCCACAGTGCCATGTTGACCGGTCTGACTGCCCCAACATCTGTCTTCATATACCGATGATGGCGTCCGAAACTTGGACGTAAGACATTAGAAAAAAACGGCATAAATTTAAAAAAAAAAATAAACAGAATTCCACTAAAACGTTTTGGCACCAACTCGAGGTGGTTTCTGACTTTTTCTGAAGAATTAAGGATCTCTCACCTTTTCTGAATCGGAGGCCTTTCACCGTTTTCTCTCGCGGACAGACAAAGTTTGGTTTGTGTCTTCTTCGCGGTTCTTTGGCGGTTGGCACAAAACCGGTTTTGTTTCCGGCTTCGGCAGCGATGCATCGATAGCGCCACCTCCTGATGACGCTACGCAGCCTGGCAGTAAATGGAAACATTTCTAATTCACATTTACTTTTTTAGTTTTTTTTTTGTCACATCTCAGAATTTTGCTTGAAATTCGTCTGCCAGTCATCAGGTTACCAAACGTTAACATCTCAAAACAAAACCGTTTTTAATGAAGCTGCCTGAAGAACTGAACTCTAAAGTTAAAGTGTGTACAAGCTGTCATAAATCATGTCGGTGTCATGTCAAAACTACACCCACAGACGTGTTGGAAATGACGTTTTAGGTGTGGAATGTTCTGATCTTGTCTCGTTCTTTTCGGTTCCTTTCAGTCCCAGAGTTCAGCTCAGAACCTCAGAGGATCCCAAGGTTCTCATGCTGGTCCTCCCGTTCTGTTTCCTTTTGGTCACCACTCGGTACAATGAGCACTGATACAGGAAACTGGTTCTGAACTCTCTTTGAGGTCCTGCAGAGGCGTCTTTAGACTTTAGAACATTTGGTGCCCAACTGAGAGCCAACATTCAAACTCCACCAACACAGTGTGTTTTCTTTTCAAATAAAACACCAATCTCAGTGAAGACGGAAACTACAAACTCTCCACTGCCACCTGTCATGCAAATACAAAAGTGAGTTTTTCCAGTTCAACTGTAAGTGTGACTGCGCCCTGAGAACTTTCCGTTGAGATCCAGACAGATAAAATAAAGTTGGACGACTCCTTTAGGCAGCGGAGTGACTTAAACACCAGATTCCACAGGAGGCAGATCAGCTCTGGACCACGTAGAGAGTTGAGAAGCAGATCGTGTCGTACCAGCCCAGTAAAAATCAGTCAAGGTGCCTTTTAAAGTTCTTGAGGAGGAGGTAGACAGAAGAGACAGATAACAGTGAAGTGGTAGTTGTCGTCCTACTGTGGTGAAGTTGTAGTCCTTAACAGTCCTGGATCACGTCCTGCTGAGGTCAGTTTGTACTCCCTCCCTGGTCACGTCTGTCCTTTGAGGTTTTGGTCAAACTAATCATTTCTGTGGTTGAGTCCTGAATCTTCCTGGTTTGGCTACAATGGGGTTTTGCTAGGAGGAGGAGGAGGAGGAGGAAGAAGAAGAGGAGACAGTTCATCACAGGCGGTGGAGGCCAAGTTCAACGCATGGTGGAGATAGAAGGATTCTCATTGTACTGACTCACGAGTGTTCACAACGCAAGGCGACGGCCTGAGTAGAGTGGTCAGCAATGATACAGACCCATCAAATTTGGGTTTACATTTGCTCTTCTCAGTGCTAAACTAAATGAATCTGCAGTTACAACTTGGTTGTTGATGTCAACGCTGCTCACAGTCAGAAACGGGAATTACTACAGACACCCTCCTCAAATACTTAAGACCTTAAACACTGAGTATCTACTGAGTCTGACACTCATTATTGTCCTAATGCTAATTAAATGTGTGTCTGACACTGAAATAACAGTGCTAGCTGCTAAATTTGGCATCCAAACACTGATGGTTGCGGTTTGACAACATAAAACTGATCAATATTCAGCATAAAACTCAACAAGTAGGCCCGAGACCTACCGAGGCTACATGAGCTACATCAGGCTGAGGTATAGAGGTCCATGTTTCGCTCTGTGCTTGGCTACACTCTTCACAACATTCATGTGTTTCATAACCGGAACAAACCCTGTAAAGAGGTACCACTTTCCCAAGTCTAATATCTATGGGTGAAAGCCAAGTGGCAACTTCTGGAGCTGAAAAATGTAGAGTTCATGTTGTGTTTTACAACCCTCAAAGTACCTAATGTTCTTGACTTTCTTGCATACCGCCGGCTCATTTTGAAATATTGCACAAGAAAAAGTTGATTAAAACAGTGAAACTCAAAAGAGAACTTCCTCAATTTTTTACACTTCCAAAAGCAGTTACTATGCTTCATGGGAGACGGAAATAACTTTCCCGAATAAGTTCTGACTGAGCAGCAACCTCCAGGGCTGAAAAATGAAGAGCCAAAAACTGCAATTCCTCGAATGTCCACTTGAGGCTGACTCCAACACAGAGTCAGTCCACGCAGACCGCCATGTTAAAATGTCCAACTTTGCAGCAGAAATAAACGTGTTTATAGCCTGGTACAGGAACCAGTTTTGGTCTCAAGAGCTACTTTCACTATTCCCGACAACTGTACAGGGAGCAAACATTTATGTAACTCACACACTTTAATTGTATTGAGGCATAAAGTTACGCATCATTCTAACATGGGGCGGGTTTAAAACAATGACTGTACGGAGTAAGGCAGCTAAAGGCTACTGCTGACGTTGAACTGTCTTTTGAACCCACAATGGTAACCGTAGATTTTCGATTTTTGAAGTCGCTGCGGACTATGTCACATTTTGTTGCTCTGATTGATTGTACGTCTATCAAAGGCAATCCAGAGATATTCTGGTCCGTGCCTGCTGACAACATCCATTAGAAAAGAAAACCAAACCAACGAGTTCCAGACTATTTAGTATTTTTTTAAGAACAGCCTCCAAACGCTACTTCAGATCCTAAAAGCAAACATCAAAAGCGGAACCTGTGGACCTTGTCACTGCTTTCCTTGGTGTGGCACCACTGTTTTTAGCAAATACTCCTGATATGAGCTACTGGTTTTAAGGAGTTTTTCTTGTCATAGACCCACATCTTCATGTTTCAAGATTAACATGCTAGCTAGCCTTTGTGATATCATCCCTATGTGTCGGTTGTTGGCTTTTGTTCTGTGCTGCACAGCTAAAGTGAAGCTAATCAAGCTAGCTAGCTAAGGTGCTACAATACATAGCTTGCTTATTTAACATTAGCGTCCACTGGGAAGCTGGCTAATACTCCCGATATAAGCGATGGGCTTCATCCTGCTATGAACCCTTTTGTTCTGAGCTGCACCGCTGAGGCTAAGACATTACAGATTACTTGGTGGAGCGTTTGCCTTATGACACACAACTTGATATTTTTAGTGTAGCAGGTTGCTGCTTTGGAGGACGACGGGGTTTTAAAAGGGTAGCCTGATAGCCAAAGTCTACATCTGGTGAGTCAGACTACTAGCCAGTTAGCCATAGCATGCTAACACGTGAACGCCCTATGTGCAGCTGTTTAAGAACTGGGTTATGGATTTGCCTGTGACCAAACTGCCTCCTCCTCTTCTTCTTTCCTGCCGACTCCTTGTTCCAGCTGAGGTGGGATTTGTCGTCTAAAATCGTCTTACACTCAGTATGACACTGTAATCTTGTTGCATCTGGTTCAGGTCCAGAAGCTGTCGCCCTCTTGCTGATTTTGTAGTCCGTGTGTGATGGTGACTCCTGTTTCTGCCCTCGAGCTTGTGACTGTGTTGGCGGAGGGAGGGCTAGAAGAACCAACGAAAGGCTTCGCCGGTCGGGACGGACGGTGGCCGCTAAGAAAAAGAGACAAGAGAAGAAGAAGAACAAGCGTGAATGAAAATCGTTAGAGCTTCCAGCCTGTCTTGTTGAGGATGGATCACTCAGATCAAGCAGGTCTATCCTCTGGGACCCATGAGTCACCACTTACTGCATATTAAGCGCGTCATCATTTGTCTTTAGGGTGGCAGAGAAAGCTGATTTATCCTGCAGCAGATATTAGCGACAGCAGAAGTGTTGGAGGTAATTGCAAGGCTCCCCAGCCCTGGTGGTACCGGCATAATGTGGAACCATGTTTTAACGAGGACTTACTTACAGCAATTTGTCAGGAAACTTGTCAGTAATCTACTTAATTAATCGACAACAATTTCTTTGGTTCCCTCATTCTTGGACCGTCCCTTTACAGACAACCGAGTCGGAGCACATCGACAGCGGCGTCACTTTGAAGTTTGGTGGTCAGTTTGTTCAGGATCCGGCGACGCTAATATTCTGTCTGAAGGCACGAAGAAGAAAAACTACCCAGGATGCTTTGCTGCTCATTACACAAAGTAAACTTTGTGAGTCGACTGTCAGGTCGACATCAAAGAGAACGCAAAGGGGATGAGGCAAGAGTGTGAAACCACCGAACGCTGTGTGTGTGTGTGTGTGTGTGTGTGTGCAGTGCTGTCACTTGCCGTTAGCCTCCGCAGGTCCAATTAGCGTGTAATTGAGGCAGATTATTGCTGCTAATTCAGTGTCGTACTCACACACACAGTTTGAGTTTCAGTGTGTCCTCGCGGCACACGCGTGTGCACATGAGGGAATAATTAGTGAGCGTTTGTACAGATTCCCACTGGAAGAGTGTGTGTGTTAGCGTGTGTGTGTTAGTGTGTGTGTGTGTGTGTGTGTTAGCGTGTGTGTGTTAGTGTGTGTGTGTGTGTGTGTTAGCGTGTGAGTGTGAGAGATATATAGAGTCATCATCGAGGTCGAATGCTGGTGTCAATGAATTATTGATCGTCACTAATTCTTGTTGCGCACAAACACACACACACACACACACACACACACACACACACAGTAGTAGATAACATAAATATTCTCCCCCTCTGCCCGACTCGTTTATCGCTGTGAATCAGTGGAGAGTTTGTGTGTGTGTGTGTGTGAGTGTGTTGTGTGTGAGTGTGTTGTGTGTGTGTGTGTGCGTGTGTGTGTGTGTGCGCTGGCAGGCTGCCAGACCTCAGCAGGGACCGAGCTCTCGCTTTTCACCACCCACCATCTGCACAGCACTCACACAGACACACACAGCAGGTGAACGATGCCTCCAGCTCAACACACACACACACACACAGAACAAAATACATACACACAAAGAAACACACACACAAAAAGAATACATGCACACACACACACACAACTTAAAGGTCCCACATTGTTCCGCTTTTCAGCAAATTACTTAAAGTCTCACATGATCTCAGAATGTGTTTTTCAATTTTCATATCAAATCAACACAGAGATGCCGCTGGCCCCGCCCCCTGCTGCTGGCCCCGCCCCCTCAGGAAGACGACTCTCTGTGCATGACAGACCACAACAATGAGTGTGAGAGCTGGGCTTTCTATCCTAACCTTGTCTCTGAGGATCATTTTACATGAAGTGTGTGTGAATTGTCCGCAGTCGGTGTTTTTAACTCTGTTTTGGTGAGTTTGTCAGAATCAGTCCTTTAGCTGCAAAGTGGCTGATGGTTAGCACGTCGTGTAAATGTGCTGCGCTCCAGTCGCTGTTCCATCCTGGTTCTGCTGTCTGACTACTGGTTTTAATTAAAGTTTCCCCAGCTCTCTGACACACCAGCAAAGCTAACGTTAGCCACATTAGCTGCACAACATGCCAAGGGTCTTCCCATTGCTGTGGGGACATTTCCATGGATTATACCAGTAATCCAGAGGCTGTCCAGGTCCTCAGATGCTGGCAGTGCATGAGGACTTGTGTTCACTCCTGCAGCCAACAGCAGAACATTTGGTTTCGCAGAAGCTTGTAAAGTCAGGAGTCTACGTAGTTATGTCGGGACTTGACGCATGACAGGAGGACACCATGTCGAGTCATCTCTCCACAACTTTTAGTTTGTAACAACCACAAAACACAACGAAGAACGGTTTTCACTGTATGGGACCTTTAAGGGAAAGTCTGTGTGTGTGTGTGTGTGTGTGTGTGTGTGTGTGTGTGTGTGTGCTCACCTCCAGCACCCCTCCTCCTCCCCCTGGTTTCTTCTTCAGCTCTTCACACTTCCTGAACTTGCAGATCTGGTGACCCGTCTTCCTGTTGCGGCAGGATGAGCAAACGCCGCAGTTGATGAGCCGTCGGCACGGCCCGCAAACGCCGCAGCGCTTCCTCTTCCTCTTCGCCACCGTACCCGACGACGAGGACGACGAGGACGACAGGGACACGCCCCCCGCGGTCACCCCGGACGACGAGGGCGAGGAGGACGAGGGGCAGGGGGAGGAGTTGGCGTGCTGCTGGCAGTCTGTTATCGGCCGCTGGCCGCCCGTCATCTGAAAAGCGCTGCTGGCGTCCGAGATCCCGCCCCCTGCCGACCCCATCGCCATGACGATGACCCCAGGGGGTAATCCCAGCCCCCCCAGGAAGCTGCTGCCCATCACCCCTCCCCCGTTGCAGCTGCCACCCTCTGATAGGCCCATCATGTCCGCGTGGGTGTGTCCCTGCTTGTTTATGACGCCACAGTCCGTCCCGCCGCTGTAACCGGGCAGGAAGTTCCCATTCGGGGCCATGGGGTGATGGTGCGACGTCCCCTGTGTAACAGGAAGTGAGGCGGTGTGTCCGGGTTTTTCAGCTCCTCCCCCCTCACTGCTCCCTCCACCCCCGCCTCCTCCCGAACCCCCGCCACCCGGGTGCATGCTGGTACTGTGCGGGTGCGAGGAGGTCATGTGGCCTGGCGTTGCCGAGGGGTGGTGGTGGTGGTGCGTCGGCGCGGTCGCCACAGGTTTGGGCCGACCCCAGAACATGGTCGCCGGATGGTTCATGTTCATGTTGTCGTGGCAGCCCCAGGGCCCTGTCGCCATGGCGCCCAGCCTGGCGGCGGCAGGAGGAAAGATGGGGGTAGCGGCCGCCAAACGGGCCGCCAGCTTGGCGGACTGGGGGAAGTTTGCAACGTTCATGTTCATGTTGACGTTGGTCTTGTAGAAGCTGGCGATGGACGAGCGGTAACGATCCATCTCCGTCGTGTAGTCCAGCATCGGCGCCAGGCTCGACACCTGCAGCAGACGGCAACGTTAACTCACTGTGCTCAACACAATCAATAATCATTGGAATGAACCACCGGCATACTGAGCAGGAGAATGACCTGCTCTGGAAAACGTATCATTGAAAGCATGACTTGAGACCTGCAGCAGTTTCAACAGGACGCCACCAGAACTATTCTGACTCATTAACACTTTCAGATCCTGAGTTCAGTCGCACCTACTGGGAACCAAAGGGTCCTAGTTAGGCCACGTTTCACAGCCTGAGCATTTTCCAACCACAAGAACCTCTTTCAAGGAGAAAAAAGCTCACTCAAAGGACCTGTGAGCGATCATGAAAAACCAGCAGCAGTCTGCTTTAGTCTGGTGCCGCCATCCGTCAGCTTACCTCCGACAGAACTGGAGTTACGTCCAGTAGCTGCTATTAGCTTTGGTGCGCTCAGAGGTAACGTAGAAGCTGTTGGACCCTGTGAACGCCTGAACGGAGTTCCTGCAGTGGAAAGACACCTGCTGAGGCTGAATGAAAACTCACCTGTCCCTGTCCACTGTAACCGTGGTGATTTGGGTGATGGTGCGAGGAGGCGGAGCTTCTCTGGAGCATCGAGGTGAGGTCGCTCTCCACGCACACGCCGCTCGTCATGCCCGACATGACCTGGCGAGCGCTAACACACACGCATACACACACACGCTGGCCGGCTGACGACGACGGCGAGCTGTCAGATGTCTGCAGACGACACGTTTCGCTCTGTGGATGGAAACAAACACTCTTTAGAGATTTACTTCTGCAGGTTACAATCACAAGCAAACGGCGTGAGAGACAGGAACCCTGCATGATGTGACACTGCTTCTGGACGATTAGTTTAAAAAAAAAAAAAAGAGAGAGAGAGAAATAAGTCCTCGTATATTTTACCTGCTGCAGCGCTGACCGTTCTGTACTATGAGCATCACTGCTACCTGAGCATGGCTACATCTAACATGTGTCGTATGTTGTCGCGGAGTCCCTGTTTAGCTTCAAAACTCTCATCAAAAGTCCATACCAGGGTTCCTATTATCTTCTTCTGTGTGTTGCCATTTTCAAAATCAACACGAACCACCTTCGGGGAGCAACCTGACGTAGCCGATTTCAGGAAACACAAATGAGTCAGAGGGTTTTTCTACCGACAGCGGAGTCGCAGTGGGATGAAGTCACGAAGTGCCACAGGAGACCGTCATGGTGCCCCTTTCACTTAGCGCAAGCCAAAACTCCACCGCTAGCTTCTCCTGCTTTCTGTGCATTTAGCACCTGGAGGTCACAGCCTACTACATGCAATAAGGCTGCTGGTCCATTTTAATGATGCCCACCGCATGCAATGCTGCCCAGACCAATTTCACCTGAAGACCACCTCGTCCTTGGCTTCGCTCCACCCACAGCTACTGAGATCGATTTGAAGAATTAAGCATTTTTCTTGGGTTGAAGGCTCGTAATCTGAGGTGAGTAGGACGAGGGTCAACCCGGGCTCTGGCCAGAGGTCATGAAGCGTCCCATAAGTCTTAGTCATGGTGCCCCTCTCTGAAGTGCAGCCAGACCATTCTGCACCACAGAATGGACGGAACAGAACCAGAGGACCGTATGGAAGCTCTCCTGCCTTTTCTGGCTGCACAGCTTTGCTGCTGTCCAACCAGCTCCAAGTTGAAGGTCTTATCAAATTGACTGTGCGATCAATCGGGAACCTGTGGCCGACAAAAAGTTAACCCGGTCCTGTCAGGAGTTTGGATCCTAGTTCCTGACCCGGCCTGGCTGCCCTGGATGCCGCCCTTGGCTCGGACTGACCTCTGACCTCGCGGGCGACCTGGTCCGCTGCCTTTTGTGCCGCACAACAATGTGTGAATGAAAGCGAGCGGAGGATGTGTGTGCGCAGCCAGTGTGGAAATGTGTGTCGGTGTGCTCGCCTCCCCTCACCGCCTCCCTCCCCCCACCGACTCCCCCGAGGCGTAACTAATTACCCTGTCTGGTCAACCGGGGCGGCGAGCTCCGACAGAAGGTCACGGTGGCCACCGGCCGCGAGGGGAAATCGGATCTCCCACGCGACACATTAACGCCTCCCCCCTCCTTCCTCCTTCCTCCTCCTCAAGA